AAACGAAGGGTAAAGGAACCAAAATAGAGGTGAGGAAGAAGCAAAAGAAGTCACAGTTGTTTTTTCCGGCCGTCTGAAGTCAGCTCTAAAAATTGGAAACAGTGGCGTTCCCTAATCTCTCCATCACCTGCACAGTGTATTCAGCGTCTGATAAACCGGCCCGGACTACCGCACACACTCCCGCGCAGATTTAAATAGAAAAGGGTGGTCCTGCTAAAGAGGAACACACACGCACGGCTCCATCCCAACCAAGGCGGTTTGTGTACCCTGCATAATGGAACTTTATCTGAAGTCACGATAGCTTCGCGCTATCTGTGTTGATATTTTGAAAAATCCAAGCGGCGGCCTGAATTACGATCCCTCTGAAACGCGATATCGGTATTCAGTTCCCGCCGAGGGCGTCGCCTCAGAACCGACCTGCTGCGGCAGAGGAACGAGGTGTCATATCCGGGAGCATGCCTGCGCGCGGCGGATCACAGTGTATATCCCCGATTGCTTAGTCATGAGCCTTATCTGCAAACTGCCACACGGCTACTTGACAGTTGGCCTGGTTCTGATTTTACTGCGTCCTCCCTTCTCCCTCAACACGTTCTCATTCCCCTCCTCACCCATTCTCCTCTTTGTCTTCCGCTCTGCTTTCTCTTTTCACTCTTTGGTAACACAATTAAAAGATTTCGCAGAGTAAATATATTTAGATATTTTTAAAGTCGCTCAGTGAGAACAGGGCCGGCATTTGTTTCTCATGTTCTTATCTTTTCTTTCCAAAGCAACCTCATACCTTTCACTATGACCTCATACTCAAATTAATCTGGGGATTTTATTTTTTTTTTGCTTCTAATGCGCTTGTCCAGAATGATGAAGTGAGTGCGACTGGCATTCAAACCCCCCGCTGTGCTTCCTTGTTGTTGCTGAGGTCAGAAACAGAAACCTCCCGTCTGGACACTGTTCCACTTCAAAAGCAACATTGCTTCCACTACGCTAGATTCCTGATTATTGGGCGCCTGAGAAGTGCAAACTACTAACTGAAGATTGTATAAGTGAAATATGAGCAACCTCCTCTTATGAGAATGAATCGTTGAACGAGCGACTCTTCCTCGTGCACGTTGCTGTGCTCTCAACTCTCCGTCATTTGACGACTGTGTTTTAAGTGTCCCCGACTAAAGACACATCGTTATTAGACCAGTGGCTTCCAGCCTGTTTGGCCTGTGACTGTTTACACCATTAGCAGTGTCTGTCATGGTTTAGAAGTGTATGAGATGTCACACACACACACACACACACACACAACGCCAGTACTCCCTGTAATCATCTCACAATCCCCAAATGAAATAAAAGTTGTATTTCTTTTCCTAAACATTTTACATTACAAGGTAAAGAAACGTGTTTGGCGACGGGGGGGACAGGGTTGTCCTTCATTTAAAAGGTGGTCCAGTGTGTCGCACGCCAAAGGAAATGAGAAAGCGCGTTACGAAGCGTTAAGATGATTTGACCACTTAGTTAGACATCCTCTTTCCTGTACCTGATGGCACAGCAAACCCTTGTACCCTGAACTAATTGCAACATACCCTCATTAGCCAGTGAGCATTCCGCCATGGGCGGCTTCACCCCTTTTCTCCCCACGGACGAGCCGAACCCCCCCGATGTGAGCTGCTTCTCAAAACGACACCAATGAAAAAGACGTCTCGCCAACGTCTCAATGTTGCTGATTAGATTCCACTTTATGTTCCCACTTTGTGACGTACCTCTAACCCTCAATCGATTCAAACTGTGATTCATAGTCAAACCACACGCAAAGGTTATTATCGCATTTGCATTAATACAAGAAAAGCATGATTGCAATAAAAGCACTAACAGATCACCAACAGGCGATATTACAGAAATACTAATGAAGGCGATAAAAACAATATGTCCAGAGATAGTGGTCGAATCTTTCTCTAATCTCATTTCGCTGTGAGACGGCGGTGTGATTAACGCCCGGGCAGTGAATTGTCTCATAAAGCGAGTGACGCCCGATTCCCTGCATCCGTTTAAAACACTCTGTATCTATTGTAGTCTCACATCGTGTGTGTGTGTGCTAACGCCAGACATCCCCGTGTGTGTAAGTTCACCGTATACACGTGCGTAGGCGAATACATCTCTCTCCCCGAGACACATTAAGGCCTTTTCACTTGGCAGTGTTTTCAGGGGGCCGTCTGGGGAACAACGCGGCCGTGGGACTTTGCATCAGGGACTTGTCGGCTGCGGTTATCAAACAGCCGCTCTCTCCAACGCCTCCCTCCGTCGGCCCATGAACTCTCCTCCGTCCCCCATCCCCTTTCTCACCTCCCACCACGGCCTCTCCATGCCTAAAAACAGGCAAATTAAGCTCTGAAAACACAACTTATATAAAAACTGCTTCCTAACTCAGTGACTCCATCTGGCAGAGGGTAAACTCTTATATTCACCCATGTTACTCCCACAGTACAGTTGGTTATCAGGGAAATGGATTGAAATCTTTGGGGGGTTTTCTTAACCTATTTATGTGTAACTGTTGGAGGAATCTGCCGGGGGGGGGGGGGGGGGGGGGAGTGCAACAATGTCGTTTTTTTCCCCATCAGAATTTTAATAAATCAGGCAGTTTAGTTTGAACGCAGTTTTAAACGTTTACACTGACGTGCCTGTGTTCCTGCCTGCACTCACACACATCATCTTCATGTTGGTTGGATGACCGGGGAAACGGGTAAGGAAACCAAAAAGGTCAAGTGCCTCTGCTCCTGTGCTATCGTCCCCCTCTTTCCCTGTAAGGAGGCGCAGAGAGGGGGGGGGGGGCAGTAACGGGATGGTGATGAGCTGCAGGAATATGTATGTGGGCGAGACTTGACACCTCTTTGCTGCTTCAACACCCCCCCTCTGGGCACTATAACGCTGTGCTTCACATTTATTTTAGTTTTTTTACTGGTTGTTGTATTCCTGATCAATAATGCAAACACATAGCAGCCGTTTTAGGAATCGTATGTGAGCATTTGTTGACATTGGCCGAAAGGGGAAAAAACTGCATGTGTGCAAAGAGATCATGTAAAATTGACTAGCAGCTCTTCTATTTCAGCAACTTTTAGATTTGGAATAAATGTCCAAAGAAGCCCCTGGAAAACTTGCAATTTGGTCCTGATAGAGCGCCACACTACACCGCTACGGCGCTCAAGGTTCTGGGCGGTGACATAAGCTGGTACCACCGTATGAGATTACAACAAACGGAGGAAAGGAGCTGCTTCATTCTCTCCCCAGGGAGACCGTACACCTCTAACTCCTTACATGCTAATAGTGGTTCACAGCTATATTAATAGAATACTGAAAGAATCCAACCACCATCATTATCCTTTCACTATAAGAATGTTTTATTATTTTTATTACATTTTAAAATGTGTTCAAATGGAGCAGCTGTGGTGTCGGCGGGCGTGTGGTGTGAGAGCGAGGGCGCGGCGACTGTTGCGCCGCGTAATGGACGGTGCGCGGAGTGAGTGAGCGGAGCTGCTGGCCTCTGTCCTCGGTGAGTAATGACCACAGAGGAGGACAGATGATCATGTTCATCAGCTCCCAGAGCCGAGGCTACCAGCCCCCCTGCTGGGGAGGATCAGTCAGACTGATGGCCCTGTAATCTGTGTGTGTGTGTGTGTGTGTGTGTGTGTGTGTGTGTGTGTCAGCCTGTGGTCGAAGCGTCAGAGCAGAGATGGAGAGGAGGCGGACAGCGATAATGAGCCTTGCGCTCGATCGTGCGGCATATATAGTGTTAACCGTGTTTACAGTGTACTGTTGAAGACGGAGGACGAGTTGCAGTCAAAGTACTCCATCACAAAGCTATTTCATATCCGGCTGCAGCGGGGGCTTGCTTCAGAGGCAAAGCAAGCGTGCCGACTAGCCTTTTCATTAGCGCGTCATTACGGGACACACCGAAGAGCTGCCAAGTCTCGCTATCATTAAGGCCTTTCTACGGCCAGTCTGTGTTTCTGCGGAAGTCTCAGCTTTAAGCTACAAATTCCTTGATCAAAAGCAGAGAAACTCTCACTCTTGGCATGATTTTCATTTTCAAACTGGTGGAAGGGTGTAGCGTGGGCCCAGGAAGGAACCCAAACAAGATGGAGTGGATGCAGGTCACGAAGCAGAATCTCCCACTTGTGGAAATGTCGTTGGTAGGTGTGCGCTCTCGGGGTGTCCCTCCCGTTGTATGTGGTATATTGTATTTTTTTCTGGCATTGATGGGAAAATTACAGCTTCTGCTATAAATGATGTGGTGGCTGGGATTGGTCAACTGGAGGCTTTAAAAAAAAATGAAACTAAATAAATAACTGTTGACAAGTCTGGTCCCTGAGGGGTAGCCTGGTCAAAGACCGGCCCAATCCCAGTGTCCCCACTAAACCCTGAGCCCCTGAGGACTGAATGGTGTGGATATGAATGGGACGGCACTATGTTGGCAGATGTCACCCAGATGTAGGTATTTATTTCATCTTTCTTCATAAGATAAGGTCATTTGAATGTTTTACTGTTTTTATCAAAAAGCAATAGAGAATAATTTAGTAAATATAGTTTGATTTGTTTTGTTCTTTAATCCGTAACGTTTTAAATGTATACATTCTAATATGACAGTCTGAACACACGTGTGCCTCCTTACGTTTGCCTCCATGCTGGTTCACTGCTTGTCCCATTTTTACAACATTACAATGACTTGTGGGTAACTCCAGCAGACGGGGGACCACGTGGTAATCAGTACCAAGTGGCACCAACAATACGTGGCACCCGTACACACTCAAAACCAACACCATGAGATGATTTAACACGCGTAGGACTCCTCCGGCGGATCGATAACTCCCAATTTACCTGGCGGAGAAATCTCCGCCCACCACCTCCTCGACTCCAACGCGCCGCTGCTATTGCGCTCGCGCGGTGCCAATCACTGGTGACCCTCCCCCCTTCCTCCCTGCTCCCCCGCCCACCCGAGGTAACAAATAGACCGCGTGGCTCCGGAGCGCACGCACTATTTGCCCAAGCGGCATCAGTTCCCTTCCGAAGCGCTCGCGAGTGCGTCTGTGGTGCGGTGCGTCGCGCGCAGCCTGGAGAGCGATGCCACAGAGCCCCGCGCAGCTGGCCACGCGAACATGGATCTCCGCAGAGTGCTGGGCTCGGTGCTTTGGATATTACTGCTCAACATAGAAGGAGACTGTCACGCCGAGGAAGGTATGTGTTCATTCAAGCGGAGAACAAACCTTTTTATTTTTTTGTGCCTGGTTGTGGAAGTTTAGTCGTTGGGGGCTCGGTAAAACGTTTAACCTAAAAATAACTCAATGGCTTGTAAAAACAAAACAAATTTAAGTGGACTAGCTGATGACAAAAACCCGATGGTTTATATTTAAAAAGTAGGAGTTGTTTGGTCGTGCAGACGGAACCGTCCGCGGCCAACACGCAAAGTCCGCTCCTCGGATAAAACCACTAAATCCCCGCTCCGCCGTCACAACCACTCACAGCTGTGCGCTGGCGGTTTTTTCCCTGTTGTCACGGCATCTCCGCGCAACTGGTTCCGGTGTCTTTCCCCACACGGCGACCGAGGCTGCAGCCGCGCGGCGCGGGCGCCTCGTCGCTGAGCCGCGGCGCAACTCCCCTCCGCGTGTCCCTGCACACTCAACAAAACAGTCCCTCTTTTGTCGGTCTCAAGTTTCTTTATTTTGTCCCTCCGTCGGCACTAAACCAAGACTCACTCTCAAAAACGTAATGCGGGAGAGGAGCGTGTTCTAAAGCATGTTTCCATCCAGATGAAATGCTGATGATCCGGAGCGAAGGAGCTGGACTCCGTTTACCCGCAGCTCTGGGGGTCCGCGGTTAAAGAATCCTTCAGCCCAGATGTTTAAAATTCATTTAACTCAAAAGTCCCAAACTAAACGTGTGTGTGTGTGCACGTTGTGTGCGCGCGCTTCAGCGGGCTCAGGTGAAGCCCCGGAAAGGTTCCTAATCAGCTGAGAGATTGTGAAGTGGAAAAGAGCGTAATGGCTTCAGACCCTCAGGCCTCCTCCCTCTCAAGAGGGGCTTCTGTTGGCAAGGAACAGCCGAGTTGGGTTCTGTGGGCGCGCACGCAATCACCTGTGTACAGTGCCCGACACGTGCACTCCAGAGCGGCCCGCGTCACGGCCGAACAATAACGCACGCGCGCGCGCGCAACTCAAGCATGCAAGCAGCGGCTCGTCAAACATCCGCACACGTGCAGTGGCGTGACATTTTCCTCCTACTTAAGGATGCGCGCGCCCCCCCCCTTGTTGTGCATACTAATAGGCTGACACGCATTTTTAATCAACGCGCACGCGCGCTTTCCTCCTCGCCAGATTGATTTGTGTCCCTGGAATGTCGGGCATCCGGATTTGGATGCTAGCTTTTGTTGAATTGATGTTGTGACTGTGATTAATTGCACTGACAGCAATGCGCTCCCCATGGCTGCTGTTGGCTGGAGATGGAGGAGAGACGGGAGGAAATCCCCACTCCTAAAAAACATCCCCATGAACGGATTCACCTGTGTGTGCTTTAACGAAGGTGGCGCGTTCATAAGTCTCTCCCTCGTTTGGGGTTTTCTGTTTAAACCTCCTGTCGTGTTGTAGTATTTATGTTTCGCTGTGATTATTATTCATGAACTTTTTCAAAGATTTTTTTTTTATTGTCATTTACACACTTTACACCCTGTGTATTGAAATTCTTGTACTTGCCTTTCCAGAAAGCCGACCAATTTTAAAATAAAAATAAGAATACAATATTTACATAGGTGTACATGAAATAAAAAATGAGGTAAGGCAGAAATGAGGTGACGAGGAAAAGTGCTGAACTGAGCAGGTTGTAAAAGAAAAAAACTTAAATTAAATGTGTGCAATATAAATTAACAGAACAGTAACAGTGAATCAACTGCCCTTGTTTGTATTCATGAATCCCTTCACTGGCTTTCGTCACACTTTTAAAAGAAAGTCCTGTTGTGTTTCATCTCTCATGCGCGCCAGCGTTTCCCCCGTAGACGCCTGCTAGACTTCGGTTTTCCTCCGCGCTCCCTGTTTGCCTTTGTTCTACCATCTTGTCTCCTCCTATGTCATCGCCCTCCTTCCCCGCACCTGCCTCGCGCGTCCTGAGCTCACTTTGCAAGCACGGACACGACCGGCGCCATGCAGCCAGAAAGCTGCTACACACACACACACACACACACACAGTCAATCCAGCCCTTCACCCCTCCCTTCAGGCCGATTTTTCTCATTGCCCCGCTCCTCAACGCTAACACACCTTGGCATCTCATTGGGATCTAATTTACTTCCCCCTCTTCTCTCCCCTCCACCCCCTCCGCATCCATCCGCTCTGCAGCAAGGCGAGGGAGGGCCCGAGGTAGGTGCAGAACACCGGAGGTGGGAAGCGTCTGAGTCTCGGCGTAACCTGTGGGGTCAGATCGCTTGATGCCTTGTCAGTACGCGCCGTGTTGTCTGCGAGCGTTGGCCTGCAGACGTACACAGAGTGGCCAAATAGCTCAAAACCCACTTCTGCATAAAATAAATGTACGTTTTTGCACTTTCTAGCTTCCGTCTTGAAGGTCGGAAGTGTTGTGGGGGTGTCCGTGCAGGAAGTCTTTTACGCAGCACACTGAGAAGTTAACATTTTCAGTCGATGGAAAGCTTTATTCTGTCAGCATGTGATTTTATTTTCCCTTTATGGTGCTTTTATTTCCTCCAGCGCCTCTCCGTTCCCTTTTTTCTCTAAATATATATGAAGAGGAGTTACATGCTCTGTTGGCCTAAGCAAAATGTTTTTATATTCCTGCTGTAACATTTAGAAGTCAACTAGTTTTCTATTGGCTACATACACCAGCCTCCACCTTTTCCTAACCAGGCCTTTTAGTTTCCATCAACAGTCTGTCTGTCCAATGACTTCCTGTAATTTCAGATATTCTAAATTATTTTAAAACAATTTTAATTTGGTAGAGGCAGAAGCCATCAATCATCCGGCAGTACGTTTATTTAACACCCTGTGTAAACCTGTTGTCTAAAGCCAGAAACATCTCCTTTCACTGAAGTGTTATTTCTATAATGATGTGCCATCTATTTTTTTAAACTGCCACAGCATGAGGCAAAGCCTCTTTTTTTACTGCTAACTTGAACAAAAGATAATTAAAGAGACCATTTTGCATTTCCTCCCTATGTCACATGATTACTAAATCAGCTAAGTACTAGTTTTCATTACTGACTGACTAATATGGGGTTTACCAGCAATTGCCAGTTTGGCAGCGGAGTAGCGCTCCACCCTCGCAGGCATCAATCGGGACTAATTGTCTGTGATTGATGCTTATTACTGCCTTACTGCCTCGATGCCCGACGCACTGGTCCATCCTCGCCTGGCAGGGACCTGTGTTATCGTGTGTTATCGCTAAACGGACGACCGCGACCTGCGCGAGAGGTCAAGGCGACACTCTCCAGTCGAAGCCCGCGGGGACGCATTCACAGGGGGGGGGGGGGGGGGGGTGCACATTAATCAAATAATTAATAAGCAGAGGGGAGGGGGGGGGGGGGGGTGGATAAGAGTCTAGGCCCAAAAAAAAGCTGGGCTGAGGTCACAGAGTGACGGGTGTGAAATTGAAAGGGGAGTGAAGGCGTGTGGGAGGGAGAGAGGTGACGAGGGAATTGTAAGCTGCCAGCCACTTGTATGTTACATGTAATCAAACAGGCCGTGGGTCCCTGAATCAAGTCGGTGCAGAAGCTCAGCCAGATACGCATTTACCCCCCAGTCTGCCGGAACACATTCACAGTGTGTGTGTGTGTGTGTATGTGGGGGGGGGGTGCACGTCTATTAGACTCTGATTGGGTCACCTGCTCGCTTTTGCTCAGGGTAAGGAAAGCATCGGGGCTATTCTGCTGGATCGACAAGAATGAGCCATCGAAGCGGGTGGGAGGGATGGTGTGTGTGTGTTTGTGTGTGCGCGCATGTAGGAGGGAAAACGGGGGGGTGAGCAGGTGTTTCAGCCATACTGGACAGTGAGGAAGGGGCTCTGCAGCTGCACAGATGAAGGCAAATTGCTGACATACTGTGCATTGCTTGTCTTATTGATGGATCTGTGCTCACACACATTCTGCTGCATCCCTGTTTCCATCTAGCTTTCCATCCACGCTTTACACCTTTTTTATTTTATTTTTTGGCTATTTTGATCCAACGCGCAGCTTTCAGACGTGTGATATCCGGGTAAACAAACTGCATTCTGCTTCATTCATCTCAGCCGACTTCTTATGCTCAATTGTATCAAAGTGAATTAACTACTATTGGTTTGTGAGGGAGATGATGAAATGATCGCAGCAGAAAAAAAGTCATTCATCCCAGGCGAGTAAGCTGGCAACATGGGCTCAGTTCAGTGGCGACGAGCGGGAGACCAAAAATTGGATAAAAAAATGAGGACAATGCTTACAGCATTAAATGAACATTAGTTCATGTTATTTTTCAAGTCAAACACTGAACATGGCTGCATTAAATCAATGCTATTATGGCTGGATCTAATGGTTATTTATATAAAAATCCTGCGGATTTATGGTTTTGGTTAGTTAATTGTTCTAATGGTCCGGCTTTACAAATGTAATTGAACACCTTTGACTTGGTTATCGGGTTTATGCATTAAGCTAGTCAGACCTTTTTATATTCCTACATTTTCATATATTTAGAGCTCAGCTACCTCATATATTAGGAAAGACAAGAACAGGTGTGTAGAATATATTATCTGCTGTTGCAGTATTTGTGAGGCTGCGTATTACTGCCCCAAAAACGGCCAACGAGGTTGTTTGTACAGATGTTGTTACCTGTGAGTTGACGCGGTTTAAAGAGCAAAAGAGGGAGGACAAGTCTAGAGTGCAGTCACAAGGAGAGGAGGAACGAAACCAAGCAAAGACCAACAGGACATTTCTGTTTTTACTGTGACTCGCATACTTGTAGCTCAATGGATCATAAAAGTCTCTGTTCGGATCCTAGAACCCATCAGGCAACTGTCGGATCATAGAGCAGCACAAAAGATTTAAGGGTGCAAATGTACATTTAGCAGATGCCTTTGAGCTGGTCGAAAAGACGTTGTTTTGCCAATGACTGAAGCCCCTTAAACCATCAACGATTCTAAACATTATGGGTTTATTTTGCTTACGTCATCCAGAGCGTGGACTATACATAACTTGTCATGGGTCATTTCATTAATGTATGTTATCTGCTTTGAGCTGCGGTTAACTGGTTCACAGTTCATTTCTAATATCTATTGGTATTAATGGGAAAACATCTCCTTCAAAACAACTATTAAGAGATTACATGTGAACACATGATACGTGAGGGTTTACCTTTCAGAGCTTGAACGCATCCTAAAGTAACTTTCAACACAAATCGGTTGTTTAAGATGTCACATTATCAGAGATCCGCAGTTATAGGATGAATTATGTCCTGATCACCTATTTTACTGAATATCAATGCATATGAGCCATGAGTAAAACGTTATGTCAATGTAAAGGTTATTGTTTAATTGTGAGTTAATTTGCGGTGTGCAGTGTTGGTACGTAAAAACTACAGGAAAGTCCGCAATAAAACGTCAACCGGTGCTGTTGTCAAAAGGTCATATGCAAAAAATAAAATCCAATAAATTACCAAGAGAAGTCGGTCTCACACCACCGGCATCCCGGAGTTAAGATGTACTCAAACACATCGCTCATCTTTGCTGTATTCGTTGGGATACTGTTGGATTAGTGGAGTTTTTGTTGGCAAGCTCCTCAGTCCTGAGGTGTCTGAAGTTGATGGATGTTGTTGGTGATGTTTGTGTGTGTGTGTGTGTGTGTGTGTGTGCGTGCGGAGCTGAAGCCGTGCTCTTGGCACAACATTTCTGCTCAGCTCTTGTTTTGCATTGCGAATAAACACCGGCTGCATTAATGCGAGGCTTGTTGTGGGCGGCCGCGTTGGGAATTTAACTGACAATTTGTCAGAGCTCAGTCAGTCTTCCACCCTCACACTCCCAGCATTCCCATAGTGAAAACCCCATCGCCCACTCATTTCGGCATCACGAGGACCGCTTTATTGAGGCCGGTTAGACTTGGATGGCTCGAACGCATTTGGAGCTACCGGCCAAATACAAACGACAACTGAAAACTACTGTACCTTTTATGGCTCCGTTTGGAGAATGGGATTTTCCTGATCCCTCCTGGTTTGTCTGATCCTGGAACTGTTATTTGTGTGTGTGTGTATCTTCCAGAGGTTAAATGGGTTGCCCTCCCTCTCTGATGTTGGCCTACAGACCATCAGCCACGATTGAGCCTGGTTTAGTCGGTCACATTACAAAAGCAAGTGGTCAAATTCAAACAGTCCCTCCAACAAACAGCAGCACATGGCTCCTAATAACGCGGAACGACAATATAGTTGCAATCGTTTTTTCTTCTTTTCAGATATTTTAATAATCATATTCCTCATAACTTAACCAATCCAACACAACAAACAAAGGAAGTTGAGACTCGGCAACAGGGGGAAAAGGTCTGAATGTCCGATGACATCATCTTGCATAGTAAATATCCACGTGCTTCAGTTTGTTGCATTCATAATTTGTATTTTTGCAGCAACCTCTGGAAATGTCTGAAAATAGGCGTTTTGGTCCATTGGGACTTTCAATCCGTCTACATCTGAGGGATGATGTCCTGGGCACGAGGCCATCTAAAAAATATTTGAAACGTTTGTATTGGCTGCAGCTGAGGCAACGGTGTTATGATGTCTTCTCATCTCGTTTAAACGCGAGGTGGTACTCGTGGTCACACTCACAGATTCACGCACGCTCTCCCCACAGTCGTGTTCTCTCAACGTCCGACACACACACCTCTGCAGCTGAGCTCCGTCCATCCCGCTGCCATTAGCGTCCCCTCTTCAGCTTTGCTCTGCTGTGTCGGCGTGCGCCTCGCTCGCTATGGCTGAGGCCGGCCGACCTGTGAACCCCTGATGTGATTCTTGTGTCCGCTGGCTCAGGAGAAGTGTAGGTAGAGAAAAAGGCTCCGTATTACTTTGCTGCACATGGTTTAATGCTACATCAGGCTTCCTTAGTCCCCACAGAGGGGACCGGGGAGCCAATCATTGCATTAACTCTCATCTAGAAAAACAAAGCAGTCTCCCTCTAATGGTTGGACAAAATTTGGGCAATATATCTACTTTGCTCAGCAATCAAGCTGCAGCCCTTGTTAACCCGTTGAGATGAGGCGGAGGCACTGAACACGGCTGTGGACGTGTGGTGCGTTCAGGTGCTGTCCACGCCGGAAAGACGAGTGTCTGCTTTCAAAAAGCGTCACATAAAAGAGTGACCCAGCAATTTCACGTTGAACTTGATAAAACGTTGTACGTCTTTT